ATATCGCGACGTTTCGTCGACGTCAATGGTGGAAATTTTTTAGGAGGCAGGTTATTCAGCAACCTGTCTATTTACGACCCCGTTGTACCTGTATTATCAGCGTTGGAATTTTATTATTTATTTTTTAGGAGATGTGGGCCAATTTTCGGTTTCCTAAATATCGGTAACCACGCTTTCTTGATCTTAAGGCCCGGTTAAAATGTTGTGGGTATTTTTAAATAATTTTAATCTATATTTGATTCGATTGACATGATTGATGTTCCGCCACACATATCCCGTTTTTCTTTCGTTTAACTTATGGTTTTTATTCACTTCTCCGAAGCCACAGCCGTTACTGTCACTTTAATTTCTTGTTCTGGGTTGCATAATCAGAAATTTGAAAATTTGGAATTAAACAAATATTGGGGGCACCGGAAGTGGGTGTAAACATAAATAGAACATGCTATATATATTTCATATTATTGCTATTTGGATACCTTGGAAAATTCCCTAGCTAAATTTCACCGCTTTTGAGATATTTAACATTTTATGTCAAATATGACATCAGAAGACCAACAAATAATTTTTCTCATATGGAATCCTTTAAAACTTTACTTTAGTTTGTAAAAAATAAAAGTCAAAATAAAATTGAAAAAACCTGCGAAACTCATTTAAAAAGACTTTGTATAAGGTTGTATATGCGGAATATTTATAGTTTTCAAAATATTTGCTTGCTCCGATTTTAACGATCAATTGATCTGAGTACATCTGATAACCACCGGGACTGGCGCAGCGTAAAACAGCGTGAAGGTAGATAATGTTGTCAGTTGCGCACGTTTAATTAACACAGGTCTACAAAATTGAACTTTTTGACAGATGTTTTCATATTGAACACTGATGTTATATAATTTTGATAGGCTGATTTCAAAAATTCAATGCATTTATTTGTATCACGTAAGGTTTTTCCAAATTTTAAAAATAATTTTTTTTTATTGAGCAAAAAGTAGAATCCTAGTTAAAAAAAATATACTCAGACTTTTTTGAGTGAAATCTTTGTCTTTTTGCCAAAAAGCTGCGTTGTCCGGACATTCGGCATATCCCGTTTTAACATTCAGCAGTACTCCGCCATCATCGTATAATGATCTCTCTCGGTTTTCTTAGCTAACTGCTCCAAGATTTTCAGGAAAACAGGAAATTCATTTCCAAACTCATATTGCAACCTAGACGATGTACTTCGGTAGTTTTGTCCTTAGAGTTCCCAAGAAACTTATGAATTACTTCTTCAAATAAAACGCAAGCATTTTTCTCGACACTGGTCAATGTGCTTTGAAAATCCTTGTCTTTGCATAATGTTCTTATCTGCCAACAAAAACACCTTTTATCTTGGTATCAGTTATGGCTGGAAATTTCTCGAACAAATATTTAAAAGATTGTCCATTTTTGTCTAGAGCTTTAACAAGCTGCTTTATCAAGCCAAGTTTGATATGAAGAGGAGGCAGTAAAACTTTTTTGGGGACAACTAAATCATCTTTTAATACATTTTTGCTGCCAGGTGTAGGGCTTGTTCTAGAGGGCAATTCTATTTGTGTCCAAAAAGCATCCATTGATGTTCTTGGTAGTTTATTTTCTTCAAAAAAAGTCCTAAATTTTGATACGTTTTTTTTTAAGCTACGCTTACTTAAGTCAATAAACAGGCGCCATTCTTCTTTTATGTACGGCACATTTCCTAATTTTGATACTAAGTCAGGAATATTTTTGCCATACCCTAGCGGTCCTTCCTAAGTAAAATATTGACATAACTCCTTTTCGCAATCCCAGTAAAAGTTTGATGTGACTCCAGGTGCCAATAAATGCTTGTCACGAAGTCTGGACGCTAATAATTAGGATGAATCCTTTGGAAGGTGCAATTCTCTGATTAAATCATTTAATTCTCTCCTGTTAAACACTGCTGAAATCTGGTGTGAAATCTGAGTCATCTGAGTCTAACGTCCTTTTGGGGTAGTAGGTATCGGTCCATCTGGTCCAAGAGGAACTAGTCGAGATTGGGATTTGTTTCTAATTTTTTCTGTTGAATCCTTGAATATTACACGAACAAAAATAACAATCATCACTGTGATTCCTAGGCTCTCGCCATACCGTAGGAACACCAAAGCTTAAACATTTCTTCCTATCAGTTTCTCTCTATTATGAGGAGGAGTATGAGGAGCCCAGGGCTTGTCTTGGTCACCAATTTTTATACCAAAATAAGCGTGGTATATAACTTTGCATAAGCAGGTTACAACGCTGGATTGATGTGTTGCCAAATCACATTTAATTTTATAATGTCTAACATGGAACAAACATATTCATGTCATAGGTATTGGTATTGGTATTAAAAGGGGCGCCCTCGCGGGCGTCCAAGCACTTAGGCCACCAGATGAGCCCGTTGTGCCCCAGGCCGCTCTAGAGGGCGCCAGAATGCCGCCCCTCCTATAGAAGGTCAGCAACTCCTTTAGCCCAATACCGTGCACTGAGTCCGGATCGATCAGGGCCGTTCTGAAGACTCCCCATTTTGCCCATGTCAAAGCAGGGCACTCGGTGAGTAGATGAAATGGGGTCTCCTCTCCTTCCATGCACCACCTGCACTCCGGGTCGTCTCTAATGCCTAGCAAGCAAAGATGCCTCCTAAGCCTGCAATGTCCTGTGTAGGCCCCTTTAGTGTTCTACACTCCCTTCTGGTCAGTCTAAGCAGCTCCCTGGTCCGAGGGAGGGTGGGCACATCCATCAAATGCCTCGCCTGTCTCATTCCCGGAGCAACTCTCCAGCCCACCGCGGTCCGGTCTCTCGCCCAGGCTTCGAGAGCTCCCCGCCTCACACACGGGGCGATCCCCAAACGGGGCTCTCATGTCATAGGTATGTATATTAATAATGGTCATAGGTATGTATATTAAAATGGCATGATGCTGCCCACTTCAATGCCGCTTCTTTAACCGCTTGTTGGACATGAAAAATAACCCAAAATAGCTATTTCAATATTTTCATTATTAAGAACTAATTTATTTCCCGGCACCTTGAACGATCCAAACTTTTTGAGATTTTCTATAATATTCTTGTGATATTCGTGTGACATTCTCCATAAATAATCATCAAATTCAAATAATCTTAGTGCGTCTAATTATTTAATATCTTTGATATGGCAACCGACAACAAGTATCTTTCACACTTTTTTGTTTTTTTAAGCCCGCCGGCCGTCATGGTTAATTCAGATCAGACACTAAGTAAAAAAGCGGCAATATCTCGAAAACTATAAAGTGGTGCTAATTTTTAATTGTAAATAAGATAGAAATATAAAACTAGACGGTTTTCATTTCAGTCAATACTTGAGGTTGCTCGATTTCAAGTTGAATTTGGCCATTAGATAGGTTAGTCTCTTATATTAAAAACACATTAGAAAGCTTAAATTGATATCCAATTTAAGGGTTCAACACAATGAGTCTAAAATATTTTCCTAGTAACACAATACAAAATTTGAAAGTAAGAATGGATTTTTCACTGCATAGAGGAATCTCACCGATGAAACTCTACACAGATCCGTCAGTTTTCAGCACTTGTATGCACGAAGTACTGAAGTACGGTTCTGGGACGTCGTTATGGAATTGCGAATTCATTGTTTGAGGAGAAACCCAAGCGCCGTAGAGCTGCGGTTAGACCTTCATAAAAATAACATACCGGTTTATGTCATAAAAAAGGTTTTTTTTTTTGGAGAAGCCTACCACTCAATCTTTAATTTATTATTTTTTCTACTCCTGTCTCTAGAATATGTGTTGCCTCGGCTAGCCAATCGGAAATAAACAACAACTGATGTCGTACTTTCTATTTTCCTTTCAAAACTGAATTACACGCTTACACATTTGGTAATTTAACAAGACAAATAAACAAAATAATACTCGCCAAATTGGCGCGTAGCGTATCCCGCTACCGTCTTCTTACCCCCCACAGTTACTCATTTCGCCGTTCTCACTCGTCTTCTTCTTAACTTCTGACAATACACTTTACCACAAATACAACTGGGACAAGGTATTGGGCGCACCACAAATACCTAGTTACACCACGATCTAGCGTGCGGGAAGCGTCACTTTATCACATCAGTCTCGTTTCCCATGGATCCGACGCACTTCGGAAATTTCCGGGATTTTACCGCACAGGTTTGAATTTTGACGTTTGTCAATTCTGAGGGTCATTGTCTTTGCAAAAATGTACCCAAAAACTAATACACAAGAACATGTTAGACAATTTAAATACTACGTGCTACAAATGGACTAATCGGTAAGTAAAGTGACATTTATAATTTAAGTTTTCCACAGAAATTTTACATATCGTTCGCATGAACTTTAATGGTTATTACAATTTTTATATTAATATCTTGCCAAGATCAATTGTACGATTTTCAAATATCCATGGCTCATAAGTACAAACAAAACAAAATTGAAGGTTAGGAGCTCCTTTTTCTTGCTGATGAAAAATTTGATCCTCTTAAAAGCTTAATCGTTGGATAATCTTTCTTCCAATTAGAGGCTTTTTCTTTAAATAAACTACTTAATGATCAATTGTAAAAGTTAAATAAACAACATAACGTTTTAAAATTGTGTTTATTCCGTTGTTTATATGACATATCCCATAATACATCTCTCTCTGTTTAACGTACACCCGTAAAAATAGACAACAATAGCAGAACCGTTTGGAAAGATAAACGAGTAGGTTTAATGGCAACTGGTAAATATGTTGTTTAAATGGCACAAAATTTAGTAATCCCATAATCTGTTATTTTTAATTCGTTAAATTCACATAATTAAGCTTATTTCTGATCGAATCCGCATAAATAGAAATAACGAGACGAAAGTGGCGCCTGTTTTTGTTTTTGTGAATATTTTTTAATTAATTTGGGAAAGCAGGTTCAGGGCTAAAATTCAAATTCAATCATAACAACCGAGACGTTATGAATTTGTTTGCGATACCGACGGAGAGTAGCCTGTTTCACTTACCGGCGATAACCACTTGAAATACGCAGGGTTCCTTCTGTTTGCCAATTTCGTTCTCCCCATAGCAAAGCAGGGTCCCATAATCCAGATCCGTGTTCGGTGTGTAGTTTAACCTTGACGAAGTGACCTATGTAAATAAGGAATATATAAATTAGTTTGCATATTAGGCAATTTGTTTTGAGTCCGCCGTTGTAATTAAGTTTACGTTTTATGGGGGCGAATATTCGCCCAAAATTTGTAATACAGAAGCCGGGGCTGTGGGGTCATTTAATGCGGGTAAAATTACCAACGGTTTCGACAGCATTCTAAGGGATAGTTCAATATAGACGGTGTTTCGAATGCATTCACAAAAATTTGATACAACTTTTTCATAATCAGTTGACAAATTACTTCAAAATTATAGAAAATTATTTTTATGAACATTATTTATTTATTATAAAAGTGCAACGAGTTCATTTTAATTTTAAATGGAAAATTAGCGATAATGCGATAACAATTGATGGGATAAAAATCGGTGGTTTTCGTTTTTCTGTCAATTACATTCTAACGAACTAATACTAACTGTTATGACTTGAAATGACGCTGCCAGTTTTCAATTCAATCGAAAATAGGGTGATAACAATAAAATTTACAGGTGATTCATTAATAATTAGAAATATTTTAGCTCTACAACCCCTAACTCGAAATATTAAAATTTAACTCAAATCGTGTTATTACTTTATTTACATTGTTTTGGTTATGGCAAGTTGGATTCTTTTCAGAGTCAACTTGCTTTAAATTTTAGTCTATCGATTCGTTGGAAGAAATTGCAATAAATAACATAATAAACTAAAAAAAATAATGATTTTAACGTCACTTAGACAGAATATGATGATTATATACATAGTATTACTCTAAAATGGTAATTCTACAAGTCTCGTAGAATTTGAGGAAGGTCGGAGTTCGATTTTGGAGAACTATTTAATGGTAAAAACCAACCGAAAACCGCTCTATTTTTCAATTTTCGGACTTTCCAAAATTTGTCGACAATTTTTAGTTAGGATAAAGACACATCGTTTTGAGTCAAATGAGGTGTCGTACTAAAAAATAAGAAAGAATAATAAACAAAAATTTCTATAATTCCTGTTAATTTTTTATGGCTATCATCTCAAAAAAACGACTGTGTTGGTCCTGAAAACTACTGGAAATAAAAGGCATTTTTTGGTCATATAAAAGTAGGCCCTGCACTTAACTCTCAATGTCAATCATCGAGAAAAGAAACATAGGAACGCAGGAAAAATCGTCTTTTTTCAGGGCCCGCCATTACAGAGAAGCGACAAAAGCGAAACAGAGTGAACAGTACTGTGCAAATAGTTTTAGTTGTTAGTGGTTGTTATTTTGGACTAAATTAAAATGTTTTACGCGGCCTGTTTTAAATTTACCCCCAAGTTTGATTAACCTGAATTATTTTAGTTCTTTCAATGAGTGAAAATGATATTATTAAGTGTAGGAGTTTAAGAAGCAACGGTCAATTTAAAATAAATTTCAGAAAATACTAAATCCAAGAAATATTTAATGTTTTAACATTTTTAATTTTAATATTTTAGAGTATTCGAGAAACACCTTGTATATATTTTGGGAAATATTGGCAAAATTACTGTTATTTGAATGTAACAAACAAAACTCAAAAAAATCAACAAATCGACCACTTTTAGTAAAATAAGATTAAGATTAATTTTGGGCAGTTATTAGATTAGCCAATTTGAACGCAAATTTTGACTCATTTTGAATTTCCAAAGAAATTGAAAATTTAAATATTACTACTAAAACTATGCGTGACATAACGCAAAATATAAGAAAGAATCAATCGATACACTGCCTACATACATAATTCTTATTATTATGACAAATCAACAGCCATCAATAATTTAAAGGATTCACCGCAGGTGTCTTTAAAGATTTTAGCCACAGGATTACGAGATGAATACAATCATTTGTGGAAAAACGGAGAATTATAAAAAAATATGAGCCACTGCATATGACTTATAAAAGTGCCCTAATAATGCATAAAAATGTTATTGGCAATTTGCGAGATTTTGCTCTTTCTAGTTCACAAATATATAATATGTGAACACAATCTCTGTTAGCACAATGGAGATTTTTTCTCTAAAATTTATGTTTTTATTAATAATGGTGCAAATGGATTGCTTCAAAATTTTAATAAATTCTCTGATTTATAGGCAAACCCCATGTTAAATTTCGCTTAGACCTATATCAAAACGATAGAATTTAAAAAAAAAGCAACAATAAATTAAAAGTGACTTACTTCGCTAGTAAACCTTCCAGACGGAACTTCTAATTGATCACCGCTGTTGTTGAAGGTCCAATGAAAAGTTACAACTGGGGGGTTGGCATCTACACTACAACGCAACGTCACAGTTTCTTGTTTGAGGGCACCGTAAAGTTCCTCGCGCTCTTGGATGCAGACGGGCGCGTCTGTGAATCAAAATAATTTTGAAAAAATGGCAAAGAAAGTTTCATGTTGCCTACGGATCGACGGTATATTTACATTTGAATATCGCTCGCTGGGTGCAATAGTGGCACATCCACAAAATAATAGTTCCGAGAAAATCAGTGGTTTAGGAAAATAAAATCTGAAATATTGAGATAACTCGTATCAACTCTTCTACTTATTACAAAATTTACAGTTTTTATAATTGCATATTGATTTGTATTATTCTCTTTTTAAAACAAAAATATTCAAATTAATTAAAAATAGATATTTTTTCATATGTGGTGGTATTATTGCACCCAGTAAGCGATATGTGGAATTAAAATAAAATTTAAATGTCGGGTATAAGCAAACTGATTATTACCTACACCAGCTGCATATATAGGCATCCGTATGTTCAGTTAATTACTAATTGTGCCTGACTCTATCTAAATAGGCTAGATTATTAAAGCTCTAATTGGAACAAAAGGGTTTGGGATCAAGCAACTAAATTGCAATGGTAATTCGGATAAACTGACTAATTATATTTTTAAGGTATTAATCGATAGGATAAACTTTCTCAAGTAAGTGTGCTTTGCTAAAACTAAGCAAAATTAGTTAATAAAAATAAGAACAGAAGCAATCATATGAAGAATACTAATTTGCTAAACTAAGAGCTGTTATAAATGGTGTCTAGCAAACCATACGAAACATATTCTTTGGATAGAACTTTTGGTTGGAAATAGCTTTTCCAACAAGTTGTTGGAAGACATCTTATTTCAAAATATAGAAAATTTGAGAGTGTATATCAGTTTCTCCAATTTTATGAGAAATTCACTGCATCAAACGAAAATTGTTCATGTGTAACCGCGAGAGGGCATTTGTAAAAATCAATTTAAATAAGGCTACGTAACTTTTTTATTTTTTATATAATTTCATATCAGTTGCTGGTAAATGTATAATAACCTTTAACATTTCCTATTTGCCATAAAAAGTTGCATAAAATGGAAGTGTTGACTCAAATTGATGATGTTTTTAAAACAAAATCTAAAAGTTCTGTTAATTGCTTTACTCTTTCGTTATATAACAAATTCTTAGAATTTGAAAAACCCATTCCTTGCAGCTTCAAATATGGAATCAATTTTCATTTGCGGCTATATTATAATTCCGTGAAATTTTTAAGTGAAACTGAATTTATATTTTTTTCTGTTTTTTGAGTGCTTTGTCCATATTATATTTAACATTGGACTTACAGCAATAATGAGAAGCGCCCACATCTTGTGGAGAGTACTAGGATGACGTCATGTTTCCGATTGCACAGTAAACCCCCATTGTATTGAGAAAATACACTGTGACAGTCACAATAATAGGGTCTATTGAATACCAGTTAAACCATCAAAGAGATAATGGAAGCTATATAAGATTTAAGTTTTTATAAACTGCAATGGTTTTCATAAAATTCAATATATTCCCCGTAAAAATAGAAGGGATTGCGAAACTTGAGATTCTTCAAAAGTTCTGAGAAGTTAATTTTATTATCATATTATTTGTAGACGAACAATTGTGACTAGTAAATTCTTCTGGTTTTTTCATATACCTAATAACAGCTGAGAGTCGGTGATGGTAGAAATCATCGCGAAAAATGGGGTTACAACAATTATCCCATCATTAACTATCACTATCATCATCATTAACTAACACTATCGAATTAACTTTACAAATATTCATGCGTCTTGTTCGTTGTACCTTTTGTAATTCTTTTGAAGGCCGGCACAAAGAGTCAACAAGAGGCACTATTATTTACTGGCTTTGTATGTTACCCAGAATTCGTAAGTGGTCGCTGGCAAAATAAATTCCTACAATTTTTTATCTGTAACCGAGGACCCATTGTATAAGCTTTTTTAATAAATTGCGATTGAAGTTTTCAGTGTCTTGATTTGTGGTCCGCGTAAGTTTGTTAGGTAGTTTGCTAGAAAAATAAATGGTCCTATCCAGCCCGTGAAACCTTTGGACCTGCCGCTTAAAATGCATTCATTTTCGGTTTTCCGGACTGAATGACGTAAAATATTGCCCTCCTAAATAGAAATAACGTTGGCGTTTTGCACTTGATAGTAGGACAATACGTTTTTATTTAACTGTACAAAATTCCGCCTGTCTGATGTTTAGAATCCGACAATGGCATTCTGCTTCGAATATATAGCGTTTAATTTCATTTCATACAATTGACTGGGTTTATTAGTTCCCATTTTATTTATCGGTGTCATTTCGGTTTCGTGTTCTATATAATACATATTAGCAAACAATACAATAATATAGTTCTGCCAAAACAAACAATTCCCGATAAATTAGTTTTCTGTTTGTTTACGCTTAATTTCGAAATTTTATGGTCTAAAAGGTTCATTAAATATTGTTCCTTAGATATTTAAATTGCCATAAGCTACAATGCAAAAAGGTAAATACACATTTTTAAGGGAAATGTCAATTTTTCAAACAACATATCTGTGATGTCCCTCTTATTTTGGCTTTAGAATTATTAAAAGTATATTTTTTTCTCCTTAATCTGAAATACTCAATTATTTACTGTACACACTCTAAAACGGGTTCTTTAGTCACGGGTTGGAAGCCATTGGGTGTTTTTGGTAGATATTCAAAACACTGATGTCACACGCTTGTCAATTTTGGTGGGTCTTTATGTGTTCTACATTCATCGCGTCACTCAGTGAATATAGCAGTGTCTCAAGAAAAAGAATAAACTGAACACATTCTCTTAATGACGAAACGAATACAGAACATATAGAGAACCATAAGAACTCAAAAACGTCAAAATAGTATTAGTGTTTTTGATATCTACAAAAAACATCTCCCATCCTCTGACCAAAGTAGCAGAAATGTCTACAGTGGGTCGCCGCCATCGGTAAATATAAAGAATAAAACTGTGGTTAATTCATTTTTTAAAAATTGTCAAACGCTTTTTGGTTACTTGATAAATTTCAGTGTTTGCATTTACAGGGTGATCCTTTAACGTTCCTAAAAAGACATTTTACATTACCACGTTATAGCTCCAGCATTTATTTTAAAAATCTGTTTTTCCCACCCTACTGTAAAATACACCTGATCAGGCGATCGAAAAGTATCACTTTACGAGGCCAGCTTTGTTATCTACAGTCGCGAACCAATCTGGACATTTCTGGTAATATAGCCATGGTATTTTGAGGTTTGTTTTCTGCATAAACGAAAAACCTTTTCTACTAACTATTCTAAAATACCCAACAGAGTCTTTTTGCAGAAACATACCCAGAAACGAATGCGTAGGAAAAGTAAGTATTCTAACAAGTTAATAGACTTATTTATTAAGCACCCGCTCCGCTCGTGCCAAATGAAACTCGTGACTAAAATGGAGTTTATAAAACCTGTTGCATAATTTGCTATTAAACAGATAATATTTGAAGACGCCCGCATGAGCAATATTGCCGAGCGATCACAAATAAGGGAGGAAATTGTTTCTCTGTAGGTAGGTAAATTATTTTTGAGTTTCACCGTCTTATGTCACCTTCGAAAATTCAATGTGTACTTTTCCTAAAGTAAATACATCTAAAACGTAAATTTTTATCGGTCACGTTTGTCCTGTAGAGAATGACGTTAAAGTATTAAATTTCTTTAGAGTTATTCAGTGCAAGTAAAAGCCCAGTAGTAGAGGACTCAAAGGAAATGCCCGTAATGTAGTACATTCCTACATCCGCGCCTAAGCTTTCATCTTGTTAAGGCGAAGGCAGAACGGAATGAAACGCGACATTAGGCGGCTGTAAACTTCCTCAAATAAGCAAATACGCTAACCTAATTTTACGAATGGAACTCTGCACTTTCCCAAAGGTTTCTGTAATTCGGAGATTCAGAATTCCAGACAATAACCGAGAATATGAGTTGTTAAAAATATAATATATTTTCACCAGAACTTTTGGTTTCTTCAATCGTAACATGTTCCTTTGCGTGGTTACTTACTATCACTTATAACACCAATACACAACAAACAATATCCTAGAAACTGTTTTTTATCGGATCGTTGGTCACTGACATTTCTCGAACTTTACACTTAAATCTCATGTGTAAAATTTGTCGCGTTTTCTTGGTATGTAGGATTTCTTCGCTTGGCCACCTTGAAAAATGGTAATAATATATATGTTATTCTTTAAAAACAGAATATCTATTTAGCGTTTTATGTGACTTACTGAATGAATTAAAAATTAGAAACAGAAAGCATTTGATATAGCATGAAACCTGAGTGAGTAATTGATAAAGATATATAATTTTGTTTTTCTACTCCCGTCTGTAAAATACCTAATTACCCACCGATCTAGCGTGCGGGAAGCGTCACTTTAACACGTCAGTTTCGTTTCCCACGGATCCGAGTCAATTCTGACATTTCCGGGATTTTACCGCACGGGTTTGGGAAAAATCGGGTGTTTTCGGAAATATTTTCCACGCTTTGAATTTTGATGTATGTCAATTCTGACAGTCATGTCAGTGAATGTATTCGTGTTGTTTTGCGAAAATTTACCCAAAAACTAACGGTAGTAGAAAAAGTATAGTATGCAAGTCGTTCGGTAAACTTTCTAACTCACTCTTTTATTAAAAACTCGTGAGTCAAATTGCCGTTTACCGCACTTGTTGCATAATATACTATTAACTCGCATGATATAGTGAATCGAGAGTCTTAATTGCGCTAGAATACAATGATGTACACAGAAATTCTGACGAAAATATAAAAATATATGAACAGAAAGGACTAAGGGACTGAGAACGAAATGCAAATCCATAGCCATCGAATTATGATTTTTTTTTTGGAACTTGAAGCAGAATTATTACCTACAATTCATTTTGGTAGGACTTATTTTTTAAAAATCGTGTTATATTTTTTTGAATAATGAAACTCAATTTCATTCCTATAAATGCGATACTTAAAACACTGCAATCAAAAAGCTTTGGATATCGGTTTAGGAAAATCGTA